CATGGTGCAGGAAATTATGAGGGGGGAAAAGAGAACAAACTGTCCAATCTTTGTACAGACTGGATCTAGAATTTGGCCAAGCTGCCATATTTAGTTTCCCTAGAACATGTGGTGTGTACCCATTTCTCCCCACCTCAAGCACTTAGAGGTCTGGTGTCACAACACTTCACTGGCTTTTAGGACATCTTGTGCTGCCTGGGGCGATGTTCCTCTTCAGACACACCTACCTCTGCAGTTTGCCCCTGCCATGCTTGTGCAAGAAGGAGCAACATGGGGAAATTGATGTAACCAGTAGAATACTTGCTCTTAGCTCTTCTTGGTACTTTTGCAGCAAGCACATGGCTCTTCCCAATGCCATCTCCTTAAATTTCAGCAAATATAGCTACAATGAGGCTATACTGAGCTACCTGCACTTAGAGCTGAAGTCATGAGATATGATCTAGCACAGCATCCATCCCTAAGAAACTCCAAAGCAGGACTTCTAATGCCTAAAGTGTATTTAGGAAATTAGTCTGCAAACCACAGTGTAGGGTGGCACAGCATCTCTTAACTGCAGAGACTTAGTCTGGATGTGTTTTCTGTTTCATTGGAAAAGTTTTGTACCCTAGGAGACAGCTTTGCCTGCCTGCAGTGACACTTGCCAAGTTTTGGTATCAAGCCTGCTGGGTTGATCCATTGTGACATGACTCTAGACGCTTTTCATGTGTCTCAGGACTCTTTCCAAAACCACAGAAACCCCATCCAAGTTAATGCCAAGCTCCGGGCAGGTCATGTAGAAACACAGGCATTGCTCTTTGCAGAGCTCTGGATGCTGACCCAGACCCGTAGGGCAAACACCTAAACAGGAGAATCTTACCAGGTGTAATTAACTCTCCATCTCTCAGTGACAGGCACTCTGCAGTTGAAAAGCAAAAGCCTTCTTTGGGGCAAGAAGAGGGATGTACTTTGAGGTGGGCAGGCAGCCTGACTGCCAATGAGAACCCTATTTTTGGCTTGCCCTAAGGAGAGATGCGTTTTATGCTTTTTACTGCTGTATGCACTCGTCCAAGACCCTCTCCCACCCACACCAGCGCGCCGGGGACCCGGACCCAGACCCTTATGCTGGAGATGCAGGTTTTTGCCTGGCAGGGTGTTCCGGGAGGGAGCGGCCCGCGATGCCCCCGGCCCCGCCGCTCTCCCACGCACCGTGCGGAACAGCACCACGGTGTTCTCCGCGGCGCCGTAGTGCGACAGCACGGCCGCGCTGCTGCTGAGCCCGAACGGCACCTCCGCCACCTGTCCGGCCGCACGGCGAAACTGCTCCGCTCCTGGGCTCTGCGGGTCCTGCGGGCACAACAGGGACGGTGAGGGACCGAGCCAGAACCGGCACCGGCCGCGGCCGCGGGCGGACCGAGCGCGACACCTGCCGGCAGCTCGGTCCCCGCGGGAGCGGCCACTGCCGCCGCCTCCTGCGGATTCAGCAACCCGCCAGAATGGTGCTGAGCCCCTGAGGAGGCGCCAGAACATAGCTCGTTAAAACAAAACAAAACAAAACAAAACAAAACAAAACAAAACAAACAAATATATATATCCATATATATGCATGTATATATAAGTGTGAGTTTCCAAAATATATACATATATAAAAACATCGCCATTTTAATGCTAACCTTGATTCTAGATTAAATTTTTAGCACCTTGCCTTATCAGTATCATGGTTCCTTTTAAAAGGACATCTTAGATACGTCCTGTAAAAAGTAGCTAATTCAGATACATCAAGGGATAGAAATGTGCGATTTCTCAGTATTTTGAGGTCCGTTTTCTTTCTTGCAGAGAGCATTAACTACAGCTATCCTTTGCCTGTATTAAAGCCTTCCTTGCTGTTCCCATTCCCAACTTTTTAATGATGTATTTTTGATACTTCTATTTATTGGATGTAAATTCTCAAGACATGGTCTCTGCTTGGAAATTGGTTTGTTTTTCTTTTTAGTTTGAACTGTCAGCTCAGCTGTTTGTGAGCCCAGAGAGAATGGAAAACAAAATTCTTTGTTCATCCAAAGAAAAACATCTCTCATGACCTGTTTTGGAAATGCCAATGCATCAACTGCTCTGGTGAGAACGCTAAAGCCGAGGGTGGGAATAATCTCGCTGAGTTTTGGAGCATTCCTGGGAAACCTGGGGTTTAATCAGGCTGAGCACTGCCCTTTCTCAGAGACACGCAGGGTTTCTGGAGCAGTGTGCTGTGTTTCCATCATGGCATGCTGTTCCCAGTCGGGAAGGCCGTGCTCATTATACGGGAAGCTTGCCGAGCCACATTCTGCAGCGCACTGAGAGGCTGCAGCAGAGAAGTAATTCATGGTGAGCGGAGAACACGGGCTTTATTTGGATGAATATGCTTTCAGGCCGAGAGCCAAGCCTTCATGGCACACATACGTCTTTATCTGCTGTTCAAATGCAGCCCGGCCGCACTTCAGGCACCGAGTGCCCGACATGTGGCTGCCCCGTGCTCCTGGCACTGGGGCTGCACGGCAGCAGCTCCGTCTGCCTCTGAAGAATGCAGTCCTGCAGAGGGAGGCCACAGTGGCTCAGCTGAGAAGGAGCCGTGTCCCTGCTGTAGCTCAGGAGGCGGCTCGGGGCGCAGCCCTGCCGCAGGCCCAGCTGCTGCCCTCGGGGAAGGAGGCCTCACAGGCCCAGCTGCTGCCCTCGGGGAAGGAGGCCTCGGCACTCTCGGCACTTTCGTTCTGCGTGTGCAGATTGCCTGCCTGCTTTGCACTGCAGCTTTAGCGCCGCAAGAGCAACCCCCAAGGAGCTCCAATCGCCTGCAGGCACCGAAGTGGAGGCGGCTGGGGCTCTGTGATCAGCGCTTACAGGGCCCTGGGGCATCAGCCTCCTGCACTCACAGCTCACGGACTTGTTGCTGCCGCGCTGCACAGGCAGCACCATCGGCCCTCACTCACTCTGGGGTATCTGGGCTGGCCTGGGAGATGCCACTGCCCTGCACCAAGAGCACGATGCCCTCCCTAGGCTGCCCTCCAGCCCCAGGCACAGGGCAGGAGGAGGAAGGTGCTTGCAGAAGGACTTGATTTTGAAAGTCTGAAGCCTTCTCTGACATGAGGCACTGTGTGGACAGCAGAAGAGCAGAACAGAGCTCAAAGGAAACCTGGAAAAAGGTGCAACTTGGGGACTTAAAAGTGAAAAGGATCCTGTTAAAGAGGCCTCTGTTTTACAGTGCTGTAGCTCAATAAATGCTTTCCTTTTATTTTCTGAGGAAAAATACTCATGCCGTTTGGGGGGGGGGCAAGGGACTCATAGCTGTCGCTCAGCTTTGAATTCAGTGAAATTTAGATAAAAAGAGACAGAGGTCTCAAGGGTATCTACTCCTACTCTGGGGAACAAAGAAGTGAAACAGAGACAATGCCTACATCCTCCCCACGAAGAGGCTTCAGCCTGGGCCCAAACTCTCTCAGACCTCAGTGGGCCTGCACTATCACTTCTCCCTGAGACTTGGCTTCCTCATCCCTGTCACACAGGCAGTGCTTTCCTCTGCCTTTGCTGACTACAGCAAATAACTGACATTCCCATTCACCCCTCACCAACACTGTTTCTCTACCGTGTACATTTCTTTGTTCCTTCCCCTGCAGCATTTCCCTCTCTCCTGCTCCAGGGCTCCTACAACCTCCTTCATCTTCTTCTCTTGCTCCATCTCCTTTTCCATGCACAGACCAAATTTCCTGTGCTTTCTCTGTTACTCATCACCCAATCCCTCCACATGCCTGTCACAGCCCCAGCACTGTGGGGACTTTTGGGACAACAGCTGCTTTGGCAGGTGTTTACACCACATCCACCCTCATGCTCTCAGCAGGGTGGGATAGAGCCCACAACTGGCAGAGGGGAGGTGCTGTGAACACACCTGGAAGAATCCAATGACTGCCACCTCTGCACCACTGATGAAGGCTTCGGCATCTGGGATGTTGTCTAACAGGATGGGTTTGTCTGTGGTGCTGGCTGTGCCTGCAGAGCAAAGGGCAGGGTTGGGCAGAGTGTACACAAGGAGCAGCTCAAAGAGGATCCCCCCAACACACACACAAGCATCCCAACCTTACAAGCTCACTCACACACCTCTCTTGCAAGCAAACACGTTTGTGCAGCGTAAGGAGGACTCCCTGAAGCAGACCCACTTTCCCCAAGGCAGGAAGGAAGCTCACTTACTGTGGGATGCAGAGTCACTTCCCCCAGCACACCCTGCTGGGGAGCACCTGGCAAGCAGGATGACAAAGAGGCACGGGAAGATGGATGTGCCCATGGCTCCAGCTCGCCTTCTCCTCGCCATGCCACCCTGCTCTGGTGCTCTCCTCAGTGAGAGACACGTCAGCTGCTGTGGGGACCCACAGCCTTCCTGGGGCAGTGGGAAGGGAGCAGCTGGCCCAGGGCAAAGCCTCCAGCTCCTGAGATAAGTGCCTGGCTAGAGAAAGCCCCTCCCTGCAGTGCAGGAATCAGCCTTGGAGAGCTGCACCAACACTACCATGGTGTGCCCTCACCACAGCACTGGCATTGGCAGCTGCCCTGCACCTCTGTGAGCAGACACCCCAGCTGGGTTAAGAACAGCCCTCTCCAGGTGCTGGATCCCAGAGGCTGATGTTCCCTTGCGCTTGGCCAGCAGGCTGGCCACGAGGACGTGCAACTCTTGAATTAGCTCCGGGGAACAGCTGCTAGGGTAAGTGCTAAACATGAGAAGGGTATGTTACACCTCCCTGGCTCATTCAGCAGCCATCTGGGATGAGAGGTGGGGGCTGTTCACCCCTGGAGTCTACCCTCATCACAGCCAGACTTTGGCTTCAAAGAATTAATGAAATCCCTGAAGGAAACTGTTCTGAAATAATTTGCTTATAGAGTAAGGCTGCTGCTTTGAAGGAGGAGGGCTATTTCCCTGCTGAAATATGCTCTTAAGCCTTCCTATACTGCATTCTCCACACACACATCACTGAGAAATATGCTCTAGAAAAGAATGTGACACTCATGCAGAAAAGAAGAAAGAAACTGGTTTTATTCTCAGACACTGAAGTCTTGTTACGGCATCTAGCTGCATTCCCCCTGACTGGCTTTGCCTGCACAAGGATGGATTTTAACAGGGTAGGGCACCAGACACAGACCAGGAGACCATCACGGGAGGTAAGTAACCCTTTACAATGAGTCAGAGCACATGGCAAGTGTAACTCAAGAGAGGGATTTTCCAGGGACCAGTCCACCCCTGCCAGGTGATCTTGTTTCCTCGAAAAGGCACTTCCAGGACTGGAGTTGGTATGGGAGAGATGGGGACAACAGGAGGAAGTACTGGGGGAGAAGGAGGGAGGGAGGTGCTTTCCCAATTTAACCCATTATGGTTATGATGGGGTGGTGGCTGGGTTGTTCTCAGTGTATCAGAAGAAGCAGCGAAGGCCTGGAGACTGGTGCAGGAGGCAAGGGGACAGGAAGGGGGAAGGCAAACTGGGTGAACTCATTCTGTCCATTCCTTCTTGATGGACAGGTTCCACTCCCAGGTGAGATGGTCGTGCTTGTCATCATCCGTGAAGAAGGATTTGTTGTGGTAGGTGCCTCGAGCCAGCATACCCTTGGGAGCCTCCTCAACGGGCGTCAGGAACTCGTACTCCTCTGGCCGTGGCCCGTAGCTGCCAACCATGAATGTGGCTTTGTCCACTAGGAGAAAACAATCCACAGGGAATAAGCCCCTCACATGGGGAATGATAAGGGAGAGAGCAAGCCATGAGCAAAAGAGCAGGAAGGAGATGGGGGAGAAAGGAACAGCCCATGTCAGCAAAGGAGAGAAAAATCAGGGGGAAAAGTGGGTTAGTGAAGCATAAGGACAGCTGGAAGGATAACACAGATGGATGGGCAGGTGATCAGGCAACTCAGTTTGTGCACTCGCACATGCATGTACATGTCCTGGTTTGAGAGAAATTTGGGAGAAAGCTGAACATTCTGGCCGTGAGTACACCCAGCACATGGCTCAAGATCTACCTTGATTTCCCACTACTTCTCTCTACTGGTGAGAAGACACCAGCAATGTGTGCTGAACAGGATGCTGAAGCCTTAGAGGTGGTTGCACAAAAGTGCATGTGGGGGTTGTGTGTGTGCAAAATGGGGCTTTCCTCTGCCTTGTCCAAGCCCAGCAGCACTGAGGAGAACCCAGGGGCAAATACAGGGTCCTGCACACAATGGGAAGTTCCACAGAGCAGGTCTGAATTTTACCAAAGGCTTCTGAAGAGCTTTCAGAGGATGGGAAGCTCCACACAGGCTGAGCCACTGCACAGGGAGTGGAGGGGAAGAGAAGAGCTCTGTATGGAGAGGCAACCTGTGGCAAGCACTGTCCAAGCAGAGTCTCTGTGGACTTTGCTGCTGCAGACTGGGGTGTAGCATACAGAGCCCAGAGCTGGCTCACACTGAGTGTGCACAGAACAAGGAACCACTGTCCTGGGTGAAGCAGGCACTCTGCTGAGAAGTCACCTCCTGAGTCATAGCACAGGGTGGGACTTGGGACCAAGGGGGCGTCTGCCCCAGCCCAGAGCTGCAGAACACTTGTTCCAGAGGAGGGACACAGAGGCAGGAGCAGTGCTGTGCAGGGCATGCAGGGCTCTTACTCACCCTTCACCCCTGTCCGGTAGGTGTGCTGCACGTATTTCAGTCCCGACACAATGTCCCTGTTTACCTGCAGGAAGGAACCAGAAGTGTCAGGAGAGGAGCTTTGGTTCTGTACCTGATGATTTTCTCCCTCGTGAAGGACATACCCATTTTGGCTCCCTACAGAAGGGAGCCTCAGCACAGGGCACATTGAACAGGTCCCTAAACAACTTCTCCATAGGTACCTGGAGACCTTTAGCATCCTCTGTGCAGCTCTTGTACTTCCCTGTCCTTTGCCCAGCTTTGAAGCTGACTGGAGCACACCAGTAAGGTTCTCAAGACATACTGATGAGGACAAAGAAAAGTGAAGCAAGGGGTTCCTGTTTAATAATTTTCATATTGGAAACCATCATGGGTAACTAGAGTCATCCCTTCAGCCTCAATGGGTGGGCAGCTCCCAGGTGTTCTCTAAGCTCCATGGGGAGCTGGCAAGTTTCTTCTCAAAAGACAGGGACAGTTTTCATAAATCTTTACTCAAATCTCCCATGGATAGCTTGGATGTATCCAGTGCTGCTCCTCCCCTCCAGCATACACTGCCTTCCCACAGTGTACACTACTCAATCTGAAAACAAGATGGACAGATTCTTTTACATTCCAGGGTAGAATTCCCACAGTACCAGCCCTTACCAGCCATGGAACTCAGGGAGGAAATTAGAATAACCTGTCTAGCTTCAGGTGTCTCCAGTCAACAAGGCACAGATACAGATGGAAATATTTCACAGCACAAAAGAGAGCTGGAGGTGTCTCAGGGGAGAGCATTGAGGGGCATTCATCTCTGAGACAGCAAGCCTCAGAGAAAAAGGGAAATCTGCCCTACAGAGCCCACAGTATTAACACTTTCCCTCATCTGTCTCAGGAGAATTCTCTTTCTTCCCTTTTTGCCTTCTCTTCCAAGCCCAGCTTTGAAGTAAGCACTTGCAGAGATAATCGGTTCAGTGCTGGATGCCACACTGCAGCGTGGCCAAGCTCCATTTTCAGCTGTAAACAGAAGAAATGGCTGACACACTGATTAATGGGAGTGAGGGAGAAATAAGCCCATTTAGGTATATCACAACCTGAAGAATTCAGGCATCTTCAGCCAAGTGCTACAATATTACATCTTCTTAATGTGTACATGAAGCCCAGTATTACTGACTGAATCGGTACTTCATGAATAGCTCTTCTCTTCTCTTCTCTTCTCTTCTCTTCTCTTCTCTTCTCTTCTCTTCTCTTCTCTTCTCTTCTCTTCTCTTCTCTTCTCTTCTCCTCCCAGTTAATTTCCACTTAGTGTGGAGTAAAGATTTTCCAGTGGCTAAGAAGCAAAACCAAACCCAGCCAAAACTACCCATGTGGCTTTTCAACCACTCATTTATCAGTTGAGCAAACAGAAACCAACTTCCTCCAAGGGATGAGCAAGCAGAAATGATTTCCTGGAAATACCTCATCCCTTGTTGGGTAGAACAACACCTGAAGCTAGGGGAGCTTTGCAAGTGTTCAGCTTTTGGGCAGGCATTCTGTCTAGTTAACTAGTCTGGCTCTAGTTATCTGACAGACTGCCACTGACTGGCCTTAGCAACTGATAAGAAGCAACTGGAAGGAAAACAACTCACTCTGAAGTGGATCTTAACTCTGTATTCCACCCCTTCCTTTAATACGAAGGTCTCTTTCTTGAGTGCTTCAAGGTCACCTGCAAGAAGAGAATCAAGGTGTCAGCTAGAGATGTCTCAGCAAGGAGAGACCAGGCACAGGGGGGAAGATGGGAGTGGGGTTGCTGCCAGAGGTGAGCATCCCTTCAAAGGATGACACCTGTAAAATGAGCATGCAAACATCCTTGTGAGATTGAGTTGTGTGACCAAACACACAGAAATTCCTGGGTGCTCGTATGTATCTGTGCCCACAGAAGATAATGCCTGAGCACACACAGGTCTGAGCACATGTACACAAAGATGTTTGTGCACAGGCTTGTTGCAGAGCAGATGCAGCAGTGTGTCTATGCTCCATCCATGCCCAGCCTGGCTTGGTGAGAGCTTGGTTCCACAGCTCCAGCCCAGCTTGGAAGGCTGCCTGGGCCCCACAGGGGTTTTGGGTGGTTTTGGGTGAACAGGAAGCCTCTCTGCCTCTCCAGGCCCAGCTTCCTCTCTCTGCAGAAAAGCCCTTATAAGGCTCTCTCCCCATGCCCCCAGGAGCCGGAACTGCAGCATTGCTCGATTCTGAAGTTTCAATACAGCCTGCTACCCAAATGCATGCACATCCCCTGTGCTCATGAAATGTCATTCAAAGGAAGCAAGCAGAGATGGCAAGAGAAACCCAGGAGCTCCTACAGCAGTCTAGATGAAGGAAAATACCTCAATATTTTCCTCTGTTACATCTCCTTCTTTTTTATTTATATGTGTATACCTTAAAATAAGAAACAAGGCTAAGATGACTTCAGAGCTCTTCTAAAACCCACTGTGGCATCCCAAGGACAAACTCTCTTTTGACTTGGAGCATGCCAGGGCCTTTGGTTGTTCCCCTCTGTGACCAAGGGCAGACCCTGTGCCTACCTGTAAGGTCCATGGTGATGGGTCCTGGAGCAGAGTCACAAACCAGAGTGAGTCGGGTGACCACCACATTGGGAGCTGTTGGGTCTGCAGGTAGGAAAAGTCAGGGGGAAGCTGTCAGCTTGCAAAATTAGATGCAATCAGAGGGGAATGACACCGAAGAAAGAGGGATGCCTTGCCACGCAGAAACTGCATTTCAATTAACACCCAGTAATGCCAGGCTTCCTTAGCACAACAGGACCACATGTCTACCCAGTTCTTCCACATGGATCCCTCTGGCCTCTATCACAATACCTAGAGGTGGTCTTTCCACCACAGAAAATTTCCTTCTTAGGATCATTCTGAGCAACAAGACCACCTTTCAGCATAGGCTGACCCCTTCAAAACCCCCAAAAGTCCTCTGAGACCCACACACCTCCTATCACAAGTCATTTTCTGATGCCAGCACTCCCCAGTAATCCTCCTAACTCCTAACACTCTGAGCATCTTCCTTGCTTACTTTATGTGCAACTTTCCAGCTGCCCATCCCCAGTTCTCCAGGACAAGCAGTGCATGTCCCTGGGCAAACAGGATCCCTCTTCTCTGAAGCAACAGCACCCTGCTGCAGTACATCTCCGCAGTCCCTCCCTGCCAGTGTGCCCCAGCCTACCTACTACCACAGGTCCATCTCCCAGCAGGGACTTCTTGTACTTAGCGAGGCTTTCATCATCCTTGTCCAACTCCTGCAGCTCCTGCAGTGTTTTCTGGGGAGGAGGTTTGTAGTTGAGTTTCCCATCCAGCTCATCATCATCATCCTCCACATGAGGCTCTTGCGTCTTCTCAGTCATGGTGGCTTGGTCTGGGTGACAGAGGAGGGGGCAGTCAGAGAGATTGCTGTGGATTGGGAGTACGGGGGCACTCACAGTGTGAGTGCCCTGACAGGCAGGCACCCATCCAGCGCCGAAGGCAGCGGGATTCCTACAGGCAAATGGCGACGGCGATCGGCTGCAACCCAGACACTGCTGTGCTGATATTCTGGCTCCAACACGATCCCCCCTACCCCCGCTCCTCTCCCTGCAGGCTCCACGCGCACTCGCAGACCTACACCATTATTCGCTCCCAGGGAGGAGGTGCGGGAGCAGAGGCTGAAGCCAGAGTGATTTACAGCCACTCTGCAGCACAGTTGTGGCCGGCAACCCTGCAATTACAAACCATCGTACAGGGCTCGCACAAAGAGCCACTGCCACACGCTGGAGCGCAGAGAAACACGAATAAAGCCAAGGACAGATGTTTCGTCCACCCTCTCATAACGGGTTAAAACCCACATTTCACAGAAAGATCGAATATCTGACAGCCACTTTCTCAGATCAGCAAGTCAGCTGAAGCTCTCAAGGAAGCGGGCAGCAAAGTCTATCTGCTGGCATTGCCTGCGCTCCCACGAACAGCTCACTCCAGGCACCCAGCAGGAGCCCTTCCCACTGAGCAGGGAGCAGGATGGGAGCCCAGAGGAGCAGGCACAGCCGTGCTGCTCCAGCGGTGCCCTCGGAGGGAGAGGCAGGAGAGCTGAGCCGCAGTCAGCAGGGCTGGTCCTGAATGGCACACGGGCAGCGAAACTGCTGGGCTGGCAGCCCAAATGGAGCCAGAGCAGGGAAATAGCAACCAAGGGGCAGAGCATGGGATGGGGGCAGGAGGCAGGCAGGAGAGGTAAGCAGTGCTGTGTCTGCCTCCAGGAGGCAGCCATATGGTCCCAGCCACCTTTCCACTCCTGGGAGAAAGGCTGAAAAACAGAGCAGTGCCCTGGAACAGCTGTCACACATGGGTGAGCCATTCCGTGGTCTATGGCAGCAAAAGGATTTGGTCAAGCTACACAGATCATTCAGTTCACTTCCACTCAGGCTTTTTTGAGACTGTCCCTACTAAAAAGTCCCCTTTTGCTTCCTTATTTGCAATTTTCCAAACAAATCATTTGTCCTTCTCTGCAACTGTGTGGCCTTAACATTTGCCCCTGCTCCCAAAAGTTAAACTGGGAGCTAATGTGATAGTTTTTTCATTTATTAAAATAGAAAAGAAACACACACAAAAAAGAATCAAAAAAGGAAAAATCAACTGTTTAAGGTGAATCATCAAGTGGTGCCAGGCAACTCTGAGTAGTATGCAGACCTCTCAGAGCAATTCCAGTGCAGGGAAGAAAAATAATCAAGGAGTGGTACATTGGCACGTTGCAAAAGGACAGAAAAGAACTGACCAGCACACAAACAAGAAGATTCAGTCAGCTATTTTAATTGGAAATGGCCATTGCAAGACAACTTTGCAATTTTGTGGTGAATGAGGAACTAGTACAGAATAGGCACATGGGAAATAAAAGGGAATCTCAACCCAAACAAACAGGAAAAAAACCAGGTCCCAGTAGCTGAATAGCCCTGGTTCAGTTCATGCCCAGACCTAGGAGTGTGAAATACCCAAATACCATAGGAAAGGCCCTTGAGCTTGTCCTCACGAGAGAGGAAACCAAAAGCTCCCTCCCTAAAGCAGCAATTACACCTGCCCCAGCATCATGTAGCCCCAGCAGAGTCACCTTAGAAAGCCTCACAATCCCCTCAGTGCCATTCCACGTTGGCAGCACAGGAGGAGGCTGTGGTTAGCCATGACAGCCAGTGCCAAGCCTTGCCTCCCACTTGGGCTCCAGCTGCAGGTCTGAGCACTGACCCGAGCTCTCCACAACACCAGGCTGCATCTGCCACCAGCACGAGCACAGAGCACAGGCGCCTGCCTGCCGCCATCCTCCCATGCCCACCTTCTGTAGTTTATCACAGGGGATGGAAAGAGGCATCTCTGCCCTCATGCAGAGAAAAGGCAGAGTCAGGACTGGATCTGCTGGCTGCTCCTCATCGCTCAGACCTTCCCTTTGCACCACACATGCCACAGAGACTGTCCCTGCCAGCCCCCGGGGGTGGCTCACTTGAGGGGGAATGCTTTTAGGTTCTGAACCTCCCTAAAAGGTGCACAGACAATCTGCCATGCCAACAGCAAGATCCTGCAGGGAACAGGACCAGCCAGACTGTCTGGGATGAACAACCTCTGGCTCACAGGCGCCTCAGGATGGCACCGATCAGACCAAGTTCTGGCATTTTTCCCCAAGCCATGGACCTGACGCTGCCTTCCTGCCAAACTCCAAGGCAGGCGGTGACCAAGAGGAAAGCTCCCATCTCAGCAGCTCCTGCCCCTACTTGCTGGTGCCCTCTGCAAGCTGAGACACATTCCTGAGCTCAGGCACCAGAGACACCATGTTGCTGTGGGGGTTCCTGAGTTTCTGTCCTACTGCCCAGGCTAATACGGAGCCCCCATCCAGACCAAGAGCCTCACTAAATTGAGAAAATTAACCCTACACTGTTATATGCAAGGAGAAATCTGTGTGCCTGGTGTCTTGCCCTGCCACATTTTTCTCACTTTTCTGCAGCTCCAGCCCACGGTCCTGCATCACCTGCACCCCTGAGGCCTGGCAGCACCCGTGAAACAAGCAGGGAAGGGGCAATGGCAGGGCTAGGGGTCCCTGGTAGCGAGAGATGGCTGCAGGAGGCAAAGACGGAATCACGCCTTGGCGGGAGGTGCGAGCGTCTCGCAGCTGGGCTCTGCCAGTGCCGCGGACAGACAGCTGCCCTCGCACCTGCAGCAGGAGGGGCAGTCACAAGGCGGAGGGTGGGCACCTCCTCACCCCCCGTGCCTCCACGGGGCACAAAAAGGGCTATCAGAGGGACAGCATTTGACTTGCCCTCCGTCTGCTCATCACTTCTCCAAACCACCCCCAGGCCGAGGGCTAATCTCCAGGAAGCGGGTTTAGCAGGGAGGAAGTAATTTTCCGCGAAGGGGGAGAAGCGCACCGGACTCAGCAGCGCCCCCAGCCCCGGCCTCCCCATCCCAAGCCCCAGGGTGCAGAAGGGAGCCCATTGCCCGGGGAGCGCCGGGCACAGCCCGGGACCGCGGGGCCCTTCCCTTCCTTGCCCGGCCCCATGGCAGCGCGCAGCCCGGCTTCCCCCTCGGGTCGGGTCGGGTCGGGCAGGGCTCTGCCGCCGCCCCGGGCAGGAGCGGGCACCGGCGCCAGCCCCGGAGTGGGGTCGCGGAGAGCGCGGGGAGCGAGCCGGGGCCGCGCCGTCCGTGCCCCTGCCCCCGCCCGCCCCTCGCACTCACCGGCGGAGCGGCGCCTGCGGCCGGGGTCCTCCTCTGCTGTCAGCGCTCAGCCCCGAGCTCTGGCAGTTGGAGCAGGAAGGAAGTTGGTGAAGAGAGAAAAAAAAAAATAACACTCACACGCAGCGAAAAAAAAAAAAAAACCAAGAGCGGCGGCAGCAGCAGCCCACCCGCAGCAGAGGAAGCCCTGGCGGCCCCGCATGCTGCGGCGCTCCGCCGCCTGCCCCGCTTTGTCTGCGCCCGCTCCTTTTGCGCAGAGGTGCGCAGGGCTTTGTCTGCGGAGCTGAGCCCGGCCGGGGACGCGGGAGTGCTCGCCGTGCGCCGCTTCGGGCTGCTGTGCCCGGGAGCGAGGGGGTGATGGCTTTGTTTTCCTCCCCAGGCTTTTATTTTGTTTATTTTCCTGCTGTAATTATGGTCGGTTTCAAAAAGTGGCGCTGATTTATACCGATTAAAATATGCGGAGAATCGGGTTGTGTATTCCTGCGTACGTGGGAAGATAAGCAGTGCTGGAAATGGAGGTTCTTATGAACCTCATTTTTCCTGCTACCTGCTGCACTTAATCAGCTTATTGTTCCCAACTCCCAGCCCTTCTCACAGAAGCAGTTTCCAAGATCAGCTACCTCAGGAAGAAAAAGCTCTCATTTCCCAGGGTTGCTTAAATGATCGGAAAGATTTTACACCCCTTACTTTGTGAAATATCAGCAGATTTCCTCTTTCTTTGCCCCTCATGGAGTGCCCACTTAGTTCATCAGTCACATAAATCCCTCATGTACATAGTCCTTAGTGCACCACAAATTAGATCATTGTTTTGCAAACGACAAAGCTGGCCCTGCAATGACTGATACACTGCTCTTAATGCATTTACAGCAGCAAAATAAGCAAAGCATATCTATTGCTAATGGGCTTACATTCACTGCCCCAGATCCACATATCCATTAAAAGTGTTTATTGTACACAAATTTTTAAAGGTTGCGAACAACTGAGGGAAAGGGATCTTCTTCAGGGATTAACAGATCGCAGAACAGGGGGGATTGATTTTTCCAGCCAGATATTTCTTTCATTTAGGTTATGGGTGGCACAATGATCCTTGCCTCATGAATTTCAAGGCAAAAACAGAGCATATATCTGTCTGACAATGGATTCCCATTTATCAGGGGCTATAACCTCAGAAACATTTCAAGCTTCCATTAATTTGTTTCACCATCAAGAAAAATTATTTTATTCTCTGCCATTCCTTTTCACTGCTACACTAACCCTTCCCTTGGGCCAGCACAAGGGACCTGACTTGAATGCAGTAGTTAGATGAGTTCAAATGGTACCAGGGAAAAAGCATGTAAGCAAATGTGTGAGTATACATTGGTGAGTTTTCAACCCAGATAGGTTTCCCCATACTTGTTTATAATGGACAAATGGGACTAAACTTTTATGCCAGTGGCTGAGTGGGATGGGGATGAGGATGAGGAAAGAACAGAGCAAATTCTTTCAACTACAGTGCCACTTTATGGCAGCTCATATTGTTCATGTAAGCAGTCCTGGCCTGGCAAAGCTGTGAAGAGTTGGATGTGTTTACTGTGGAAAGATTTGAGGAAGCCCCTCTGTCTTGTACAACAGTTTCTCATCTTGGTTTCTTTGCTAAGTCTCTGATTTCAGTTTAGAAACTGAACACAGTTTAGCTGGGAGGAGGTGTGGGTTGAGGTTCCTGTTCACTCATGGCTTGGTTTGAAATTCCCTTGGTTTTATCCACTGTGTACAGTGCTCCTGTAAGTAGTGTTATTGCAATCATTCTTGCTGAAGAACAGTTGAGATTAGCTTGGTCTCTTTTGTGGGCTTCTTTTTAGTTAAACACCAGAGTGCACGTGCCTTTGTGTAGATATTTACATGGTATTTCTAAACACATGTGAGCATAAATTAAGATCAGTTCATCCACAAATATGCATAAAGGTATAGGGATGTGTAGCTGTGTGCCACCATATGTGTGTGCACTCAACCTACATGGCTTCATCTGCCTAGCATGCAGGGGAAACAGATTTTACTCCTAAATTAGAAATTAGTCAGCATGTAATCATGGGGACATCATGTAATTGCTCTGTGCCTCCTCTTCCTGTTCACAAGCAGTGTGAGAAGGAGGTGTAGACATTGGAATCATACCATGCCAAGCAGATGGGAACCTAGAAGCCAGGCATGATCCTTTGGGTCAGCATATCCAGCATCCTGCTGGGGAACCACGTCCCTGCTCTGCTGGAAGGAAGGAAAGGTTTGAACCACAATGGAGCAGGACATCACTGACAGCAAATCCCTGCCACTGAGTATTTCATCTGTGACAAACTGATGCCATGCCATGAAGATCATCTCTTGGCAGACATTGCCCAACCCCAGCCAGTTCTTTTGTCTGTGACAGAAGGAGGCAGGGACAACTCATAAAGTGTACATGCTTTATTGCAAAAAACATGGTAAAATTTCAAATGTGTTCTCAGCTGGAAAATAATATTTTTTTACTTAGAATATTATGATTAGGTCTTATTTAGTTTTACCCCATTGATTACAGCTGATTGTACAATTAATACACCACAATAATAGGTGTGATCAACCTCTAGTGTCTAAGTTTATTTCAAAAAGTTTATGCAAAATTTTAAATGCATATCCTTCAACTACACAGCCTGTACTCCCAACAGTCATATATGTCTGTAGCACCCTATTGGAAACAATAAACCTTGACTTTTTTAAAAACAGTATGATTTTAAAAAATCAGGCATTTTTTCCTGTTTGAATTTGGATTGCTGCCATTAGATATCCAGTATTTCTAGATTTGAACTTTTTGCAGTGGTGGTGCATTGCAGCTTTGTGCTGCTTAAAGTCATCTCCATCTTCTGTGGAACAGGTTGCTTACTGCATTTGAGGAACAGAGCTACTTTATGACCTTTAGAAGTGACTAATCCAGTAAAATTTTACCTGTTAGAATCTCTTATTTTCACCTACTTGTAATTTTAAAAACTGTCTGATTTGGAGTTGAAATTTACCAGGCTGGAAGCTCTGAGGGGAAAAATAAAAATAAATTTCAGTCCAGGTAGGGAATCCATGTTTGAAATTTTAAGAGTCTCAACAAAGTAATACCTTTAATGCTGATCTTGTAAAACTATTTGTTTTGGAACTACTAATTTGTATTTTCACTGAACTCAGTACACAGTTACTAACTATGATTTCTGTCTAGTGAATAATATTGTTGAATGCTGTCACTGTCGTGAGTTTTGCCTCCTCCTCAAGCTTTCTACAGTCCCAGGAAGGGTACAGGTGACACGCTGGGAAGACGATCTCACAGTTCAGCAAGTTCTCATCAGCAGGTGCAGCAAGGTGAGTGTCAGCTCTGGCCATGGGGGCCCCTTAGGTGCTGTCCCCAGATGGTGTCCCCAGATGGTGTCCCTCTCTGCAGGCAGAGATCCCTTCCCTGCAGGGATGGAGGAGGTAATCCTGTCCTGAGGCAGTCACAAGGGGATGGGAATCGGCAAGGTGACAGGTCCAGGAGCTCAGACAGGAGCTTTCCCTGCCTTGTGGGGAGCATTCACTGCACCACGAGATGCCACCCAACTCTGGTAATCCCAGCACTGCCTTCTCTGACTCAGTTAAGTGGGATAAACAGGGTGATACAGCAAATGAAGCATGAATTCTTCATCTCTGAATAAAACACAGGCACAAGTTGCCCCAGGACTGGCTTTAGAAGTCAGCATTGAAGTCAGCATTTAGAAGTCAGCATTTAGAAGTCAGCAAGGTTGATCCTGGTGTGCCTAGGAGAGGTGGTGCCTAATTTCTTCTTCCCTGGTGCTACTCACCCCTTCTAAAGTGCTGCAAAGGAGTGTGCAGCCCTTGGGGTGGGAAGACAAGGAAGGGATGGAAGCTAGATAAAATGTCAGGCAGGGGAGCCAGCATGGAGGGCGAGGAGAGAGCAGGCACTTTGGGGTGCCAACACAAAGCCCCTGGTAAGGGTTTAACTCGGTTTTCCAACCCCAAGTCCCATGAGAATTCTTTCAAACCACCTAGCCACTGGACTTGAGGGCTCTCAGCTGGATGAAGAGCTGACCCCTGAAGACATGAGTGTGTGTTCCACCTCTTCAGCTCCTCCAGCAGTGATTTCTTTGAAAGATGGAGAGATTGGAGATTTAATACTTGTCTAAGCAGCTTTCAGGCTTGTTAAAGTGCTAATCCCATAACCCCTGTCACAAGCCTGAAGGTGTGCAAAGACTTCACATGTCACTTCACAATCCCCCGAGGAAGCAAGGGAAACAGGAAGACAGAGGAAGGAAAAGGATTTTGTGGGGGATGAGAGGGTAGGGGCAAAACAGAGCCAGTTTCCTTCAGAGTCTAGCCTGAGGAAGGCTGAGGATGGGCAGAGCAGCTCAGTGAGGACAGAGAGGGAGAGCTAAATTGGTGGGAGGGGGTGAGTGAGAGCACAGGGGTTGGTGAAGGAAGATGATGGTCCCTGTCATGGGGGAGGCAGAGGTGTCTTCTCTGCATCCCCTGCTCTCCAGAGCCTGGCATGCAGGAAAGCAACTTTTGCTCTCCATCCCTCACTTGGTGCCGTGGCAGAAGTCAGTGTTCTGCAGGTGAAGGTGTTCTAGAGAAGTCACCCACCAGAGCTGGATTTAAAAGGGGACTGGATTATTTTAGGGCCTCTCAGAAAACAGGTGGTTATGTAAGGTCAAATCTCAGCAAGTGTAATCAAATCTCAGTTCTAAGCTGATCACCAAGCAGGGTGTTAGGAGTTATTTATTCAAGCATTCCTCCCTGTGTTGTGACTTTCTTCTGAAACAGCCAGAGCTGAAGCTGGGACTAAATTAGGAGAGCTGTGGTATCCTCTCCTCCTCTGCTGACCTTGGGAAATCTCCCTTGCCAGCTGCGCCCTCACATTCCTGTGCTAAACAGTACTCTCAACAAGGAACTTGATTGCATGCCAGAATTTATAGCTTCTAGTCAGGTTGTGTCCAGCCTCTGGCCAGCTCTTAGGTGCCTTGTATCCCTGTAGCTCAGGGCATGCTGCTTGCAGCTATATAGCATCTCTCAAAGCCATAAGACAATAATTACCACTCTCTCTGTGGCAATGTTTTTCCTTTATTGCACTTGTGCTGTTCACATATTATTGCTCTCACAGCCCTGCCTCCATAAACCCCCACAGTGTTATTATAGTGGATTCTCGTGCAAGAACTGCTGTGAGAATTGCTGTTCCTCCCACTCCTTCTTTTTCTTTGATATTGCAGGCTTCAGTGTATAAAGGAGAAAAACAAATGTGGTGTTCAACAGAAGAGCCAGTGGCTATTGAAATTCTCAGTAAATATTATCCAGTTTTGTATATTC